GAACTGAGAAAAATTGTGGGGTTATGATATAATATTAAACTATGTGGATTTTGAGGAGATAGATTTTATTAGAAATTTAGTGTAGGGAGGAAATGTGGGGATTTCTAAAAATGGATATTAACTGGTAGTGTTGATCTTAGTTTTGGGTAGTATTCAGTGGTGTTTTGGGGGTGTTTGAATGATTTTTTTGGGAAAGTATTCAGTGGTAATTGATGTGTTTTTGGTAGTGTTAAAAGTAAAGTGAGTTGTCTTTTGTGTGTGTTAGGGGGTTATAGAATTTTGTGAATATCTTGGTTACAGTGATTTTTAGTGGATTTGAGATGGGTGATGAGATGCATTTGTGGATGTGAAATGTGATTTTTGTGTTTGCTCTGAAGAGGTGTGATGGGAAACGGGTGAGTGGATGTGAAAAAATGTGAGTGAGAGGAGAGGGGTATGGGGAGGGTTGTTTTAGAAAAATTTTAATGAAATATGGGGGGGATTTTACTGAATATAAAGGTAAGTGGGGAATATTTTAAAAGAATTTATAGAATTGAAAAGTTATGATATATTGGGAAAAAAAATGGAGGGTGTAGAAACATGTCTCAGTAGTTGGGTAGTGAGATTAGTTGTTGTGAGTATAATATTAATTTATGTGGATACAGGAGATGGGTATGGAGAGGAATTTATTAGAATTTTAGTAATGTAGGGGGGAATGTGCATTACATTTAAGATCAATTAAAAGAAGGGAAAAAATTTGTATCGAATAAATTGTGAATAAAATGGTAAAATGATGAGTGGGGTGGGTATTTTTGTTTACCTGGAGTTTTTCCTGGAGAGAGTTTCGGGGGTCAACGCCCCCCCCGGCCCGGTCTGTGACCAGGCCTCTGGTGGATCAGCGCCTGATCAACCAGGCTGTTGCTGCTGGCTGCACGCAAACAACGTATGAGCCACAGCCCCCGGCTGATCAGGAACTGGACTTTAGGGGGCTTGTCCAGTGCCAGCTTGAAGACTGCCGGGGTCTGTTGGTAATCCCCCTTATTGTGCTGGGAGGGAGTTGAACAGTCTCGGGCCCCTGACACTTATTGTATGGTTTTCTTAACGTGCTAGTGACACCCCTGCTTTTCATTGGGGGGATGTTGCATCGTCTGCCAAGTCTTTGTTCGATAGTGAGTGATTTTCGTGTGCAAGTTCGGTACTAGTCCCTCTAGGGTTTTCCAGGTGTATATAATCATGTATCTCTCCCTCCTGCGTTCCAGGGAATACAGGTTCAGGAACCTCAAGCGCTCCCAGTAATTGAGGTGTTTTATCTCCGTTATGCGCGCCGTGAAAGTTCTCTGTACATTTTCTAGGTACATTTTCTTGTCGAACTTGATATATCGAAAAAAAGTTGTTATAAGTGGGTTGTTGTTGTGACTTTTTCTGATGAAATAGTTAAAACGAGAAAAAATTGGGTTGTGGGTTTGTTTGGGGTTTTGGGTGTTGTTGTCGAACTAGAGTTGTTGAAAAGTGATTAAAAGTGGGTTTTGTTGTGACTTTCTGGTGAAATTAGTTAAAAGGAAGAAAATTTTTTTTTTTATATTTTATTTAAAACCAACAATAGACAATAGACAAAAGGGAAAACCCTAAAGATGACAATATATGAACAATAACTGAAAAAAAAGTTACATTTAGGGTATTGAAACATTAACGAATAACATTACAATATAACAAATATGACCACTATTACCTACATATAAAATCAGATACCGAAGCTTTAAAATTGTCCTATACTAGCTACATGTGGATAAGTTAACTTTCACAAAAACATGCAAACCTATTTAACTCTTCCTCAAATTAATCATCTTGCTCTTAATTTACACAGAATAATAAAATACAAGTATACTTTCATTATGTCGTTTCAGACTAAATTCCTTTTTGCTCTGAACACGGGAAAGAAATATAGGATAATTAACCAATGATGTCAAGAACACATCCAAGCGAAACCTACACCGACCATACAGGTCCATGAGAACTGCACGGTCCGCGCAGCTGCTCGTCCAGTTGTGCACATGTACATTACACATGAGAACTGCACGGTCCGCGCAGCTGCTCGCCCAGGTGTGCACATGTACATTACACATGAGAACTGCACGGTCCGCGCAGCTGCTCGCCCAGGTGTGCACATGTACATTACACATGAGAACTGCACGGTCCACGCAGCTGCTCGCCCAGGTGTGCACATGTAAAATTACACATGAGAACTGCACGGTCCGCGCAGCTGCTCGTCCAGGTGTGCACATGTACATTACACATGAGAACTGTACGGTCCACGCAGCTGCTCGCCCAGGTGTGCACATGTACATTACACATGAGAACTGCACGGTCCGCGCAGCTGCTCGCCCAGGTTTTGCACATGTACATTACACATGAGAACTGCCCCGTCCACGCAGCTGCTCGCCCAGGTGTGCACATGTACATTACACATGAGAACTGCACGGTCCGCGCAGCTGCTCGCCCAGGTGTGCACATGTACATTACACATCGTACCTACAATTAGATTCAGCTCAACATTTTTCAATAATGCCATACGTAGAAACATTCTACCTAATTTGTATAATAAAGAGCAGTTTGAATCAAAGAACATTCCACAATTATCATAAATTTACCCTAACCTAAGCCTAGTATTTCATCTGTATTATAAATGTCTAATCAACACGAAAATTTTACCACATACCTCTAACCATATTTGTTGGTGTACATGATACAACCTTGTATTACCATAAAGAGAAAAAAAGAACAATAAAAAAGGAAAACCCACTCTTCACCTTTAAAATCAGACTTCAATTTACCATTCATGTACATACATATAAATAAGTATAAAAATATGTTGTTAGTTGAACACAATCCTTACAACCGTCAGTTATAAAATTACGTCAACTCAACCACGAATAACTTCATCCAATTCCCC